TTTCTTTTAAAATTAGATAATGGGTGTCATATTACTGGGGAATACTGGGAACGACCCGTTCTTCAAGTGCCTGAGCACTGCGGGTCCCAACTTTTCGTTGGCTTTGATCTATAGACATTCGGTAGGAGTCCTTGGATGAGTGATCAGCCCGTCGCAGGACCTCTACCCATACACAGGACACCACAACATAGAAAAACGCGGACAAACATCCATGGCTTGAGTGGGATTCGAACCCAAGGTCCCTGCGACCGAGCGGCACAAGGCCCACGCCTCAGACCGCGTGATATTATGGTAATTAAATAACATAATGATAAAACGAATATAATAAACCAGTAATCAAAGCAGGGCAAATTAAAACGGAAATACTGCATCACTTGAAAACTTGATTTGAACCCCACTCGAGACTGTAAGATCAACTCTCATGGGGTCAACGCCGTGCTGTACCAATATTTGGTATTTTTGATCAGTAGATATTGCAGGGGCAGAAAGATGCAACACGATGTCTTTCAGAGTAGAATAGCCACTTGATGTCAATCTCCCCTTTTTTAAAAGTCACTAGACAACTTTTAGAAGTCGTCATTCTTCGTAAAATCTGAATCTGCGTTTCCACTGTTTAGTAAATCTGGCCAATTGGGCGGATCATATTTGTCGATTTTGGCAGCAGAATTCTTTGTCCCGTTTTCTCAGCATCAGCACAATCCAACATTTCAACATTTTCGTCTGTAGCCGTAACACTTTTCCCTATCATCGTTTCAATCTTTAGTTTACTTTCCTGTCATTTCTGTTCTCCTGAAATGTACTTTCACTGTCTGTCTGTGTTCTGGACAGTCATGGTTGTGGCATTCTCACGCATTTATCGAAAACAAAAACAATCTCTTACATTTCACAGCTTTCCAATTCAGCGCGTTTATACAGTTCTGTCTGAAATAAATCAACACATACAGTTTCAAGGCAAATGCCATACATTCTTAAACACATTATCATATTATATTGTGTTTTCGCGTATTGTTTATTAAAACCAGTGTCGCCATGGTTACTGTTACAACAACTAATAAAAATCAAGTTTCAAACTAAATTTAAATTAATTTGCGTGATCGGAAAATAAAATAATTTAACTGAAAACTTCGTGAAGCTGGCCACTCTTCTGTATATGGTGATAGTTATTCCTCCATCTTGTCTTTATGGCGAACCAGAGACAAATTTATCACTTCCCGCTTCGTTACACGTACCTGTGTTTTGTTTTCACAGCTCCAGTTACTTCCCAAATAATGGTATTCTGCTTTATCATCTCATCTCAGACTGTATTTTCAACTTTATGACGGCCAGTCCATGAGGAATTTGTCTGGGGTTAGAGTGGCATTTGGGAAACAGTACTTAAGATTTTAGGAGCCAGTCAGTATTTTACTAATGTAGAACCCCCGGGCCAACTCTTTACCACAACTTCGTTCGTCCCCTAACTATGGCTTCACCTCAGTTCCTGCACTTGGCTGGGCTCAGGGGTATGAGTTAGGCACTTTATTGTCAGCAGAGAAAGGGTCCT